TGATAATAGACTTGACTTTTTCGGGCCCTCCACCTACTGAAAGGCAGAAAGGAAAGGTTAGGCAGGCAGAGTGGAAAGCAGGGACTTTAATTAATCCCAGAGTGCTCCCTCTCTCTCTCCCTCTCTCTTTCTCTTCCTCTCACTGTCTCTCTTTTCTCTCTCTCTCTCTTTCTCTTTTTTCTCTCTCCCTCTCACTGTCTCTCTTTTCTCTCTTTCTCTCTCTCTTTCTCTCTGTCTCTTTTTTCTTTCTCTCTCTCTCCTTCTCTCTCTCTTTTTTCTTTCTCTCTCTCTTCCTCTCACTGTCTCTCTTTTCCCTCTCTCTCTCTCTCTCTTTCTCTTTTTTTCTCTCTCCCTCTCACTGTCTCTCTTTTCCCTCTCTCTCTCTCCTTCTCTCTCTCTTTTTTTATCTCTCCCTCTCCCTCTCACTGTCTTTTCCCTCTTTCTCTCTCTCTGTCTCTCTCTTTTTTCTCTCTTTTTTCTCTCTCCCTCTCACTGTCTCTTTTCTCTCTTTCTCTCTCTTTTCTCTCTCTCTCTCTCTCTCTTCCTCTCACTGTCTCTCTTTTCTCTCTTTCTCTCTCTGTGTCTCTTTCTCTCTCGCTTTCTACCTCTCTCTTTCTCTCTCTTTCTCTTTTTTCTCTCTCTATCTCTCTCTCTTCCTCTCACTGTCTCTTTTCTCTCTGTTTTTCTCTCTGTCCCTCTTCGTCTCTTCCTCTCACTGTCTCTCTCTCTCTGTCTCTCTTCCTCTCACTCTCTCTCTCTTCCTCTCTTCCTCTCACTGTCTCTCTTCTCTCTCTCTGTCCTTCTTCCTCTCTTTCTCTCATTGCCTCCCTTTTTAGTCTCTTTCTTTCTTTCTCTCCCTCTCTCTCTCTTTTCTCTCTCTCTCTTTTCTCCCTCCATCCCACCCTCTCTCTCTCTCTCTGTGCTAGGCAAGCCAGAAGCTGCATGGAGATCTTGGTTTACTGAACCAGGTTTGGAAGACCCCGATATTCTTCCAAAGGCTTTGTTTAAAAAGTATGTTATTTTTCCTTCTTTTCCCTCTCTTCCCAGGGGAGACGTTGCCATCTGAATGCTCGGCTTGGTGCTTCCCTTAAGAGTCAAATTCACACAGAGATCAAACTTCGGATGCTTGGCAGCTGACTCATACTTACGACCATTGCAGTTACATGGTCGAAATGCAGGCGCTTGGCAACGGAACCCTATTTATGACGGGCGCAGTGCGATCCCCTTGCAAGGTAGAGAAAGAGAAGGACATTTCTGGGGAATCTCTTCGAAGGAAAAGGACACACATATTTTGTTTTTTTGAGATCTTGGAGAAGAGCCGAAGATCAGGCAGTGAAGGACAACCTTGAGATCTTACGAGAAGGAGGAGATCCCCTGTGGGATCCTGGAGGGGATCCAGAGCTCTGAGGTGGCAAATGGACCTTCAAAACAGAGAGGGCACAAAACAGACCCCCGAAAATGTTTGCCGCCTCCTCCCTCCCTCCCTCCTTGGCTAATGCAATTAAGCTCCTCATTTTCATAAGAATTGAAATTTGCATTATTCATGCTCTGTCCATCTGCATGGAGAACAGGAGCCTCCGGCCTCTTCAATCCTCCCCTCCAACAACCCCCCTCCCCTCCCTTTCCAGCCCAGGTAAGGACATTGGGCAGAATCACCCAGAAGTGGCGGAAGGCTGCTAGTTTAACGGAAGGGAGCAGCATTCTAGTCCCTTTGGAGGAGAAACTTCTGTTCTGCTGGTTGTCGGACTTCATAGGAGGAAACATCTGTTTCAGGGATAAGCCCTGGGCATCCATCCACCCCTTTCTCCCTCCCTCCCTCCCTCTCCCATGACCATGGGGATGCCGCAAGGGTCGTAAGTGTGAAAAATGGACGTAAGTCGCTTGAGTCACTAAGACCCAGTTAGAGTCACCTTGTCATGGAGATGGCTGTTGTAAAAATTTAATAAATACGTGATAGGATAGGAATAGGAATAAAAAAGAATAGGAATAGGAATAGAATAATATAGAATAGATGAATGTAGAATAATATGTAGAGAATAGAATATAGAATAGCATAGGATAGAATACGAATAGGAATAGAATAATATAGAATAGAATAGATGAATGTAGAACAATATATAGAAAATAGAATATAGAATAGGATAGGAATAAAAAAAGAATAGGAATAGGAATAGAATAATATAGAATAGATGAATGTAGAATATATAGAGAATAGAATATAGAATAGGATAGGAATAAAAAAGAATAGGAATAGGATTAGAATAATATAGAATAGATTAATGTAGAATAACATATAGAGAATAGAATATAGAATAGCATAGGATAGAATAAGAATAGGAATAGAATAATATAGAATAGATGAATGTAGAACAATATATAGAGAATAGAATATAGAATAGCATAGGATAGAATAGGAATAGAATAATATAGAATAGAATAGATGAATGTAGAACAATATATAGAGAATAGAATATAGAATAGGATAGGAATAAAAAATAGGAATAGAATAATATAGAATAGAATAGATGAATGTAGAACAATATATAGAGAATAGAATATAGAATAGGATAGGAATAAAAAATAGGAATAGAATATAGAATAGATGAATATAGAACAATATATAGAGAATAGAATATAGAATAGAAATGGAATAGAATAATAGATTCGTGTAGAATAATATATAGAGAATATAGAATATAATAATATAGATGCATGTAGAATAATATATAGAGTATAGAATATAGGATAGGATAGGAATAAAAAATAGGAATAGAATATAGAATAGATGAATATAGAACAATATATAGAGAATAGAATATAGAATAGCATAGGATAGAATAGGAATAGAATAATATAGAATAGAATAGATGAATGTAGAACAATATATAGAGAATAGAATATAGAATAGCATAGGATAGAATAGGAATAGAATAATATAGAATAGAATAGATGAATGTAGAACAATATATAGAGAATAGAATATAGAATAG